GGTCCCACGCCCCCAGCCTGCCTCTTCCCCCAGGAAAGAATCCGGGAAGACGCGGTGCACGGGCGGGGCGCCCGCTGGGCTGTCCGGGCCTGGCACCCCTGCTGGTGGCGAGGAGAGTGCGCCCTTCCCCAGGCGCGCGGCCACGGGAGAGGGGACAGCCCCGCGGGCTGCCGACCCCCTCTCTGTGTGCCTCAGTGCTGGGCCCAGGATGGGCAGTAAGGCCACTCCTCAGGCAAGCATAGGTGATCTCCTCCTCCCCCTTTCTGGACCACCCAGGACTGGAGTGGACTGAAACGGACGGCAATGACCTCTCCGCCATTCGGGACCTGACTTGTTCTCTCCACAGTCCTTCTCATTACAGATCCTTACGTTATCTACTATTTCATTAATGTATTATTATTTATTCATTTTGTTTGCTTACCATGCCTCTCCCCCTGCTGGAATGTGGGTTCCAGGGGGCTGGGGGACTCTGTTTTGTCCATGGATATATTCCCATTAATTCAGCAACTACTTCCGGAGGGCCTCTCTGAGCGCTGTACACTGCTGTGTCAATATTGGGGTTATCAGGGAGCTATGCCGTGCCCCGCCCTAGACATTACGTAAACACAGTGCTGTCAGCGCTGTGAACACAAATGACATTATCGTAGGATGAAGGGAACAAAACTAGAAATGAGGGTACTGCTGATCTGGTGACCTTAGGTCAGGCCACCTTGGTGGTCAGAGCCACCTTGGATATGATGATCAGAGAATGGCTATCAGATCAGGTGACTCTGATTAAAGTCTGCCAAGAAACTATGTGAAAAGGACTAGAAGGGAAAAGCTGGAAGCTATGAGGCCACTTAGGCTGTGACCTAGCTTAGGAGCAGGGTTACTGAAGTCTGAAGAGTGAAGGTCAAGACAAGGAGACCCAACCTTTTATGTTGCACAGAGGTGTCTGGTCTTGGTGGATGGGTGGGGGGATTATCACGGGTCAGGGAAGGATTCCTGGTGGAGGTGATGGTTTCACTGGGCCCCAAAGGTGAAGTAGGAGTTCTCTTTCTTTAGGATGGGTTGACTCTATGAGAATTGCTTTGCAGGCTTCCTGAGAACCACGTGATCAAAGGGCTCAGCTGTGTGGCCAGACAAGAGGCCGCTGCACTCCCTCAGTGAGCCCTGCTGGTAAGTGGGTCACTGCCAAGACTTACCCTAGAAGGTGTAAGGGAATCGGGAGACCAAGCTCTGCTTCTCATGGTCATGTGACCTTGGGCAGTTTCCCTTTACTGCTCAGGGCCTTAGTTTTCCATGAGAAAGAAGGATAGTAGAATTAGGTACCATTTGTGATCCTTCAGAGGGTGTGGTTGGTCTTTCTCTGCCATACCCTTGTTTGTGCCACATTCTGGTTTACAGAGCAAGTTCCCATCTGGTCCTGAAGACCGCAGATTGAGAAGGAAAACAACTTTTTTACTTGAGGAATTCTAGCCCCTTTAAATTAACAGACCCAGAGAGGCATTCAGATATGACAGCTGCCCAGTCTCACTCCCTTGAGCTAACGAATTACTTTCTTGGAGGCTGCAGTGAGCTGGGATTATGCCATTGTATTCCATCCTGGGCAACAGAGTGAGGCTCTGTCTCTAAAAAAATGAATTAGCTTTTGAAGCCACTTCCTATTTCCTGTGTGATGTCAAGTAGCCATAAAATGCCATATGCTGGACACTGTGTAGTTCATACCCTATAGTTCAACAGTGTATAGCCAAACGTTAACCAATGTTATTTCTGTGAACTAGTGAGAATTCCTGCCCAACGACTTGTATCAGCCCACTCCATGTTTCCTTTTGCCTGTAAAAATCCACTGGTAACAAGGCTGAATGGAGTACTCACTACAGCAAATTGGAAGTGTGGCAGCTCTCCTCACTTTGGCTCAAGTAAACTCTTTAAAATTGTATTTTGTGCCTCAGTTTCTGCCTTAAGGTTGACAAGAATCAACAGTGCCATACATGAATGAGAAGCCAGTAGAGGCCTGGGTAGGTCATTGAAACCCTAGAGGTTTGGCCTCAGAATTGAACTGAGAGGCCCCCAGATTAGGGGATAGTTTAAGCACAATGATTTCTATGGATCTGTGGTTCATTTCAGCCCAGTTATTTTAAAAAGCTATGTCAGTTGGAGGTGGTGGTGGTGGTTCATGTCTGTAATCCCAGCACTTAGTGAGGGAGGCTGAGGCAAGAGGACCACTTGAGGCCAAGAGTTTCAGACCAGTCTGGGAAACATAGTGAGACATCCCCTAATCTCTACCAAAAAAAAAATTGACTTGCTGGGCTCAGGTGATCCCTCTGCCTCAGCCTTCCAAGTATCTGGAACCACAGGTAGGCCCAGTTAATTTTTTGATTTATTGTAGAGACAAGATCTTGCCAAGTTGCCCAAATTGGTCTTGAACCCCTAGGCTCAGGCAATCCTCTTACCTCTGCCTCCCAAAGTGCTGTAATTACAGGTGTGAGCCACTGTGACCAGCCAAAAAACAAGTTTTGTTTTTTTTTTTAAATTAGCTGGGTGCAATGGCATGTGCCAGTAATCCTAGCTGCTTGGGATGCTGAGGTGGGATGTCATGTTTTTTTTTGGGGGGGGGTCAGTCTTACTCTGTTGTCTAGGTTGGAGTGCAGTGTCATGAGCACGGCTTACCACAGCCTGAACCTCCTGGGATCAGGCAATCCTTCTACCTCAGCCTCCTGAGTAACTGAGACTATAGGCATGCACCACCACAGTCGGATAATTTTTAATTTTTTGTAGAGACAAGGTCTCGCTATGTGGGCAAGGCTGGTCTACCTTACCTCAAGCAATCCTCCCACCTTGGCCTTCCAAAGTGCTGGGATAACAGGCATGAGCCACCGTGCCCAGCTTGAGAGGATCACTTGACCCTGCAGTAAGCTATAATCTATACTCCAATCCAGGTAACAGAGAGAGACCCTGTATCTAAAAATAAAAAATAGAAAAGTTATGTCAAGGTCCTGCCATACCTCCTAGCCTAATGCAATCACATGAATTCTTTTCTTTAAAAAAAAAAAAATTAGAGACAGGGTCTGGCTCTTTCATCCAGACTGGAGTTCAGTGGCACAATCATAACTCACTGCAGCTTTCAACTCCTGGACTCAAGCCATCCTCCCACTTCAGTTTCCTGAGTAGCTGGGACTACAGGTGTGCCACCACATCTGGCTAATTTTTAAATTTTTTTGTAGAGATGGGGGCTCACTATGTTCCCAAGCTGGTTTTGAACTCTTGGCCTCAAGTGATCCTCCTGCCTCCACCTCCCAAAGTCCTGGGATTGTATGCATGAGCCACCGTGCCTGGCTTCATATTATTCTTTTCTCTGAGTCCTCTGCTGTTCAGTTTTTTGCATGATCCTCACAACATCCCTTTGACAGAAAAGGAAGGAAAGACGAGCCTGTTTCACAAATGAAGACATTAAGAGCCACAGGGACACAGCAAAAGAATAGGGGTCAGAGAGCTGGGGTCTGGTCTCTTCCGAACCCATGCTCTTCCCCATGGGGCCACAGGAGCCACCCCCTCTCTAATCGGCTGCCACCTCTCTCACTTCACAGTTCTGTGGAAGCCATGAAACTGAACGAGAGGAGTGTAGCCCACTATGCACTGAGTGACTCTCCAGCGGACCACACAGGCTTCCTGCGCACCTGGGGGGGCCCAGGGACCCCACCCACCCCCAGTGGCACTGGCCGAAAATGCTGGTTTGTCCTCAAGGGCAACCTGCTGTTTTCCTTTGAGAGTCGTGAGGGCCGGACCCCACTGAGCTTGGTGGTGCTGGAGGGCTGCACAGTGGAGCTGGCCGAAGCTCCAGCTCCGGAGGAGTTTGCCTTCGCCATCTGCTTTGATGCCCCTGGAGTGCGTCCACACCTGCTGGCGGCAGATGGGCCGGCGGCCCAGGAGGCCTGGGTGAAGGCGCTGTCCCGGGCAAGCTTTGGCTACATGCGCCTGGTGGTCCGTGAGCTGGAGAGCCAGTTGCAAGATGCCCGTCAGAGCCTGGCCTTGCATCGCTGCTCATCCTGGAAGGCTGTTGCCAGCCGCTGTAAGCCCCAGGCTCCTGACCGCTGGTCTCCAGGACTGCAGAATGGCCGCTCCCTCTCCAGGGACTGCAGCCCCGTGGGCTTGGTCGACATAGCAGGCAGCAGGTCCGCAGGGTGGGGGTTGACTGAGTGGGAGTTGCAGGGCCCTACCAGCCTCCTCCTAGGCAGGGGGCAGAGCCCCGTATCCCCGGAGACCTGCTGCTTCTCTACCCTGCATGACTGGTATGGCCAGGAGATTGTGGAGCTTCGGCAGAGGTGGCAGCAGAGGGCCCTGGGGAGCCAGCCAGAATCAGAGGAACAGGATAGGTGCTGAGCCTGGGACCTTCGAGTTTTGCCCCTGTCCTGCTGGTCAGGACACCAGGGCTAGTTCTTTTTCAGGAGTTAAATGTTTACTCATTTCCAAGGTTGCTTTTGCAGGAGTGGGGAGATTCTTTCCTTCCTGATGTTTAGGCATTCTTCAGGTCCAGATCCACCTTTGTGCCTGGAGGGGATCGAGGAATCATTTCTTCCATCCTGTTTGTTTCCTGATGCCCAGAGAGGAGAGGTGGCTTGCTCAGCAGCCACAGAGTCTGAGAGCTGAGTCTTCTCAGTGGAGGAAGTGGGGAATGTTACATGACCACAGGCCACCCTACTTTTGACTTATCCACTAGACCGTATAGTTACAATTTTCAATATGGGGAGGCTTCTGTACATTTAAACACCCGAAGCTGGCTGTAGTATTGGCTTGAGGGGCTGACATTGTCAGAGAGAGCGGATTTATTGTGTCATAGGCATTTCTGGGGTCCAGCTCTTTCTGAGAGTTGGAAAGACTGGGCATGGGATCCCCACTCCGGTGTTTGGGTAGGGTCCTTTGGCGGGAGGGGACCTTCAGCCAATCAAAAGGAATTTATTCTGCTCAGAAAGTGTTGGGGCCTCAGTCTCTCTACCTGGCTGCCCTGTCAACAGATGGTGCTGAATGTTGCCTTGGAAGGGGCTGGTAGCTTTCATATGTCAGCAGAATCCCCTCCTGTACTCTGTCCTCAGCTGCCAGCTTCTGGAGCTACCAAGTGAGAAGCTAAAGGAGGGGTGTGTGTGTGTGTGTGTGTGTGTGTGTGTGTGTGTGTGTG